GGCAAAGGTAAAAAATTACCAAAATTAGGCCACCTTAAATAAATATCTTCCACCAAGACCCAAATTTCAGAACAAATCTGCAAAACTAAAGAATGATCAATGGAAGGTTGTCTCTTTCCCCAAGAGAAAGAACCAATGTACTCAATGCCATCAGTTTTTTGGTAGTGGGGACGTATTACCATATCACCGTTCTCGCGGTGTTGCTGATTTTTAAGATATCTTAGCTCATGTTGTTGAGCATCCTTCTCCCGGAACCATTGTAATTGCTTCGGGAGACAAGGATTTTGGTGAGATAGTTGAAAGGGGAGTTAGGTTACATAGTAATCATAGCTGCCGATCTCGATGATACTTACTCTAAAAACCGCCTCCAGATTGGGCAGCATGTCAACGCGGCCTATCTCGCAAAAGGGGACGTTGCACTGTAACACTGAATATTCAATCCAACGAAAGAAAGCATAACTTTTAAATAATTCAATAGTTACAACTCAATTATTTAAGCTTAATAAGAAAAGCCGACTTTCAATTCGGTCTAAAATGGTGCTAGTTCGATAGACTAGACTTATAAATTTGATCATCAACATTAACATCTCGACCAAAACTTAAACATTCGCCGAGACTGGCTAGGCTTATCAAAAACTCTAGGGCAATAAGTCGAGCAGAAGATCTCAAGTAGCACCGGAAACTGAAGAACACCGAACATCCCAACCGGAACCATCGCGAGTAATATAAACGGAGCTGAAATCCACCGCACATCATCTCGAAGTAAAACCACAAGCGTCAGGACAAAACTCACAATCATGGTCGCCATCGAGAGAAACAAAGACGCAAGACCCACGATCAGTTTCGTCGGAAGCGATCGAAGAAAATCTTCTTCGCGGTAACGAGACTTGAGAATCCCGAGGAACATGAGGAGAGACATACATGACGTGAAGAGAGAGATAGCGTCGGAGATGATGAAAACCATTAATAATGTGTGCTTGTTGTCGTAACCTGCGGGGACAGTAAACGCGGAGGAGAACATCATTGTGGTGATCAGAGCCGCGACGACCGTGCAAGAAGTCGCTGTTTCTTTCATCCATTTCTCTCCTTGATCCACTAGATCCTTGTGTTGGTCTTTAAACAGAGCCTGTGGAGTTTTCTTCTGCTTCAAGTTAACCATTTTTCTATGCTTTGGTTGCACTAGCCTCTCCACTTCCTTGAAACAAAGACATCAATAACACATTCTTAGGATTATGGTCAGAGGAAGAAGACTTACAGATGTTACATAACAGAGTTGACTTGTAATCTCAGTTTCTTGTTGCACTTAGATAGTTATGCCTAGGTTCGTGTGTAGCAAGCAACAGCTATGTATCACCTTAAACCATTGTAATTCCCTTTGCATCTGAAGAGCTGCACCAGGAATAAGGTTAAGCCGTGAAGCCGGGGCTCGATATGCGGCATGATGAAGCATATTGTTATGGAGTTTGTCCCAAGCTGTAGCGAGGATGTTCTTCTTAGCACCCATATTGTAAATGAGGCTAAAGATCTTCTCTTGTCTCTGGCTTACAGCGTAGAAGAAGAGGTTAAGACCATAACTATCTTTGAACCATACGATATCAGGATAATGCTTCATCACTTCCTCGATATACTCGACGATACCATTCTCTACGGCCTTGAATAGAGCTTGGTTTAGACCTGCGTCCTTCTGTTGGGTCACGTCCATGTTCGGTATTTCTTGACAGATACAATCTAGTATCTCTTTAGCTCGAGCATGTCCTACCTTCAGTTTGTATATGCGCCTTATGTGTGGAACTATCAATAAAAAAATTCATCAAAGATTGATGAAATCAACAATTAGGGCTCATAATTTGAGAACATGTGTGTACTGCTTACAAAGAAATTTGAGCTGTTTTAGCAGCGTCTCTTGATACCAATGATGATCTTGTGGTTTCTTGTATTGATGATTATGATGATTTAGAACTTCATGACGGTTATTAATCTTCTCTAGGTGAATACCTTTGAAGAGAAAAACCATGAGTTTAACGATATATTCTCAACCCCACAAAATTAAAGTGTACTGAAACCAAACTCATAATAATAAGAAAAATGCTATATCTAATCTTCATCTAAGAAAAGTGTCCAATTATACGCATAAGCTAAGTATACTCACAAGAATATATCCAACGTTGCCAAAACGCAAGATGGGCACCGCTAGGGAACGCAGAAGGAGTTTGAGCAAGCGCGATGATAGCTGTATCGTTATCGCTGTCCCGAGTATAAGCAAGCTTAGGATACCTCTGAATCAGATCCAAAGCAATACCTTTATATAAGTTCAACACAAAGACACATTAGCCACATCTTATGAAACATATAACATACGAATATCTATATATGTATCATTACGAACTTAATTACCATAGAGTCCATCGACGATACAATTAGTCACGAGCATCGCTCCGTTCTTGCCTTTGTGTTCGTCTGACTCATCACTAGGCTCAAGATCACTCAGAGGTGTGTGATCGTAAAGATACCGAACCAGATCTTCGTGACCGTACAACGAAGCCACCACGATCGGTATATGCTCTTTCGCGTTCCGAACACTAACCAAACCAGGACATTTATTCACCAAACACTCTGCAATTCTAACAATCCCACCAGTCGCTGCATAGGTAAGCGCGGTGTAACCATTATCGTTCTTCATCTTCAACACTTCTGGATCGTGAATTCGTCTAATGATCTCTTCCACAATCTTTATGTGACCCGACAAAACAGCTTTATGGATTGGTCTGTCTTCATTAGAGGTTAAACTTGCGTTTAAAGCCTCAGGGTTTCGGTCCAAGAACTCTTTCGTGGCTTCCAAGTTTCCACTGTCTATGTTCTTGAAGAGGAAGAGATTGGTCGAGTTCTCTTGTGGTATCTCGCCTTGTGCTTCATCGAGCTGCATGCTATCTGACCGGAAACTTGTGCGGCTGGTTTCAGGTCGTAGACTGTCTCCTCTGAAACCTCTGGGATAACCTTTTTCGGTATCCATTTATCGGTTGTTTCTACAGCAAGAAACAAAGACTGTATGTTTTGGTCTCTGTGTAAACTTGTTTCTTATGTAATTTCTGTAAAAGCAAGCATACAGAGCTTTCCGTTATTCGAACAGAGGCATGTGTAAAGTAATAAAATAGTGGTGACTTGTGTTTTGAGGAAGGTTTAAAGGACACAATAGAGAGAAGGATTCAA